GACAATCAAGGGGGGGGGGAGGTTGGAACCTTGTATGAATATGACGAGAGGTTAGTAAAGAGCACGAAATTGATTGGAATAATTTTCGTTTGATGTTCTTTGAACGTGTGTTGTTATCTTTTGTTTTGTGGGTGGCGTGAGTACTTAGACACGTGTTGTTGTTTTTTTAACAAGAGGATGTGGGGTCAGCTTCAGTATGATGGTGTGGTTGTGGTGGAAGGGGAGGTAAAGCGGGAGTATAGAAAGTAGAATGGGTTATCGCCCCTGATGAGTACGTCTGCACCGTGCGCTTTCTACCCGGGTAGTTGTCGTCAGGTGTAAAATTATGCAAGGTGCGTGGGCGTCGGAAGAGCCGGTGGGAATCATTTAGACACGTGATCGGGTTATCTCAGATGTTAGGGAGATAATGGTGAGATATAGAGGTGATACAAAGGGAGGTAATGAGGAGATATAGAGGTGATACAAAGGGAGGTAATGCTAGGTCATTGTGACGCGAATTTTTAAATATCGCCAACACTGAAAATGTCTTTCAATGCAAAACGTAATTAATTACCTAAAACGATATAACCAGCATCGATAAGAACCGCGGTGTTTTAATTAAATGGCGACAGACAGCAACATGAAAAAAAAATTATTCTCATCAGCAAGACACACCTCAACAAATCTACAAAAAAAAACCCATTGTTGTGGCTGATGCGTTTTGTTTTAACTCGGGATGCATATTCATCATTGTGTTAGAAAACATTTGTGGTAATCACCCACCGCGAGATTAATGTTTGAATCGCTTTCAATTAATGCCCGCACACACTCAACAAAACGTTCCCCGCATCTTTCAACATCACAGCCGGACACTATAGTGTGTGATGGTGACATCTTTCAACATCACAGCCGGACACTATAGTGTGTGATGGTGACATCTTTCAACATCACAGCCGGACACTATAGTGTGTGATGGTGACATCTTTCAACATCACAGCCGGACACTATAGTGTGTGATGGTGACATCTTTCAACATCACAGCCGGACACTATAGTGTGTGATGGTGACATCTTTCAAATGTTTCTGATGGTGACTTCTTTAAAACGTCTTTGATGGTGACATCTTTTATACATCACAACAAACCACCTACGTGTGTGATGGTGACATCTTTCATACATCACAACAACCCACCTTTTGATGTGTGATGGTGACATCTTTCACACATCACAACAACCCACCAATGTGTGTGATGGTGACATCTTTCACACATCACAACAACCCACCTACGTGTGTGATGGTGACATCTTTCATACATCTCAACGACCCACCTTTTGATGTGTGATGGTGACATCTTTCATACGTCTCTGTCGGGCACTACCGTGTATGATGGTGACATCTTTAAACGTCTCTTAAGGTGACATCTTTCACACATCAAGCTGCTGGGGGGGGGGGGGGGTCACGTTCGGCGACTAGTTACGTCACAGGGCCACCGATGACGTCTTAATTGGTCTGTGATGACGTGTCACAAGGTGATGTGTCGCTAAATGTGAATGGCCTACTTGATTTGTATACTCACCCGGCCTCCCCCACCCCACCCACCCCCTTTCCACGAACTTTAAAATACCTTTTCTTATTTTCTTATTTCCCCGTGCACCCCCCCCCCCCCCCCAACTGTGGCGATGTGTCAAAATGTGGTAAATCCACATCAAAACACAATTTTAAAAACCATACGGCTGCTTCCTTTACTATAAATTACATACCTTGGCTTATCAAAAAAATTCTTGAATTCTAGTTAAATGGAACTGTCTAATTTACTAATTAGTCGTAGACACGTGCATTACCATAGCCTATTTAGTGTTTTATTTATGCTCAGGGTTTAAATTTATGTCGTCTAGCATAGTTAGTGTTTTATTTATGTTCAGGGTTTAAATTTATGCCGTCTAGATTTAAACTTCCGGTTAGGGTCATGTTTGAATATAAAGCAGCAATAGGCCGTATTAATTAAAAGAAATGTTTTGTCACATTGAGCGGGTACCAGTAACGAATGCTAATTAACATCTTAATTATTTTTTTTCTATCCAGGCTTATCAAAACGGGTTTTATTGTTTCCATTTGCGAACCTAACGAATCAATTTTTCAAAGTGAACATCTGCCACGCTTTTGTAAAAACATGAATTAAAAACTAAAATCTATTCACTACGTGTTTATTATCATCGTTGCATATTTTACCTGAAACAGAGACGTAATTCTGAAGAAGATTATAGAGAGATTAATTAATCCCAGGATCAAAAGTGGTTGGTGAGAAAGTGCGTAGGTTGAGACCGCAGATAATCATCTGATGTGGTGGTTAGAGAAAGATGTTACCCCGCATAGGATGTTCAACCATTTTATTTCGAACAATGTGGTTGGGACATTTCATTTCATGGTCCATTGCCTCGTGTGTATCGGGGTAGGATCATAGTCGTCATGGATGGCTAAGTTGTTTAGCACTCATTAGTATGCATCATTATATGTGCGTATATATGCATGCTGTTATACATTATATATGGATAGAGTTATGTGTATATGGTTGAATGTATACATTTAAATTAAATTGGCTTGAATGTTTTTGATACATTTAGCGTATGTATCTTTGAAGCAGAAATTTTCTGATATTTGGTTTTTGGGACATAGTGTCTCTAATATCCGTGGCATTGTTTCTTTGGTTGTATCTTTGTTCTTTGACATATTGTCTCTGATATCTGTGGCATGTTATCTGATTATCTACGTGACTAGTTCTCTGATGATGTATTTGACGTCGTTTTTCTGATGATCAATGTGACATGTTTTCACTGTAACCTGCTTTATCTCGTGGTATCTGTCATATATTAACAATGATAATCTATGTGACATTTGTTCTGTGATTATCCATGCGATGTGTTTTCCCCCATGATATCTGTGAGACGGATCATCTGTGATATCTGTGACATGATATCTATAATGATCTATGTGACATGGCTTCTCTTATCTGTGTGATACAAACCAATTCGATGGTGTGCTTGATGTTTTTGGACTATAACATTGGTCTTTTAAATGTGACCATTGTGTTGTTTGCTGGGATAATCCTGGAGGGCATTGACCTCTGATCTCTATGGTGTTTACTAATTAGTGTTTGTTGTACGTTGCCGTTATGATTGCCCGTTTAATGTGATTGTGGTTAATTTGATTGTAGTCAATGTAATATTTGTCAGTGACATTAGTTTCAATGATAAATGACCAACTATATTGTTCTAATCTTAGATATATAAACCGAGGTGCTACATTTATAAATTAAATTGGCCTGTGTGTTGGTGGCCTGTGTGTTGTTGGCTTGTGTGTTGGCCTGTGTGTTGTTGGCCTGTGTGTTGTTGGTCTGTGTGTTGGCCTGTGTGTTGTTGGCCTGTGTTTTGGCCTGTGTGTTGGCCTGTGTGTTGTTGGCCTGTGTGTTGGTTGTTGGCCTGTGTGTTGTTGTCCTGTGTGTTGTTGGCCTGTGTGTTGTTGGCCTGTGTGTTGTTGGCCTGTGTGTTGTTGGCCTGTGTGTTGTTGGCCTGTGTGTTGTTGGCCTGTGTGTTGGCCTGTGTGTTGGTTGTTGACCAGTGTGTTGTTGGCCTGTGTGTTGGCCTGTGTGTTGGCCAGTGTGTTGGTTGTTGGCCTGTGTGTTGGCCTGTGTGTTGGTTGTTGGCCTGTGTGTTGGCCTGTGTGTTGGCCTGTGTGTTGACCTGTGTGTTGGTTGTTGGCCAGTGTGTTGTTGGCCTGTGTGTTGTTGGCCTGTGTGTTGTTGGCCTGTGTGTTGGTCTGTGTGTTGGCCTGTGTGTTGGTTGTTGGCCAGTGTGTTGTTGGCCTGTGTGTTGTTGGCCAGTGTGTTGTTGGCCTGTGTGTTGTTGGCCTGTGTGTGTTGGCCTGTGTGTTGGCCTGTGTGTTGACCTGTGTGTTGGTTGTTGGCCAGTGTGTTGTTGGCCTGTGTGTTGTTGGCCTGTGTGTTGTTGGCCTGTGTGTTGGTCTGTGTGTTGGCCTGTGTGTTGGTTGTTGGCAAGTGTGTTGTTGGCCTGTGTGTTGTTGGCCTGTGTGTTGTTGGCCTGTGTGTTGTTGGGCTGTGTGTTGGCCTGTGTGTTGGCCTGTGTGTTGTTTGTTGGCCAGTGTGTTGTTGGCCTGTGTGTTGTTGGCCTGTGTGGTGTTGGCCTGTGTGGTGTTGGCCTGTGTGGTGTTGGCCTGTGTGTTGGCCTGTGTGTTGGCCTGTATGTTGTTGGCCTGTGTGTTGGTTGTTGGCCAGTGTGTTGTTGGCCTGTGTGTTGTTGGCCTGTGTGTTGTTGGCCAGTGTGTTGTTGGCCTGTGTGTTGTTGGCCTGTGTGTTGTTGGCCTGTGTGTTGTTGGCCTGTGTGTTGGTCTGTGTGTTGTTGGCCAGTGTGTTGTTGGCCTGTGTGTTGGCCTGTGTGTTGGCCTGTGTGTTGTTGGCCTGTGTGTTGGTCTGTGTGTTGTTGGCCTATGTGTTGGTCTGTGTGTTGTTGGCCTGTGTGTTGTTGGCCAGTGTTTTGGTTGTTGGCCTGTGTGTTGGCCTGTGTGTTGTTGGCCTGTGTGTTGGTTGTTGGTCTGTGTGTTGTTGGCCTGTGTGTTGTTGGCCTTTTGACCAACATTTTTTACCAATATCTGGGTTTAGCTGAAGTTTAATGTTTTTAAAATCCCTCGCGGAACAGGGCGCTGTATTAAATAAATCCCGTCAAACAAATTTTTAAAAAATGAAAAAGTAAAAAACAAATATTTGTTTTTTTTTATCTTTTCTATTTATTTTTGAACGTACTAAACGTGATGATTCTCAAAATAGTTCAATTATCAATATATTTTTTTTCAATTCCAGGTATTATCTGAAGATTTTGAAATAAGACGAAAAGAACGGAAGACGTTTCAAATCACACTCAATACAACTTATCACTGCGAGGAAACACATCGTTGTGGATAAATCCACATTCCTGTGGATAAAACCACATTCCTGTGGTTAAACCACATTTCTCAGACACTGAAGTGCCACCTCCCTATCGAGGAAGAAAGTTCGAGAATGCCGCGACCGGGCAGAAACACATACGACGAGCAAAAACCGCCGTACTCGTACATCGCGCTGACGGCCATGGCGATCCAGAGCTCCGGAGAGAAGATGCTGCCTCTCAGCGACATCTACAAGTTTATCATGGATAACTTCCCCTTCTACCGCCGGAACACCCAGCGCTGGCAGAACTCGCTGAGGCATAACCTCTCCTTCAACGACTGCTTCATCAAAATCCCCCGCCGCCCCGACCGCCCGGGGAAGGGCTCGTACTGGGCCTTGCATCCCATGTGCGGGGACATGTTCGAGAACGGGAGTTTTCTGCGCAGAAGGAAAAGGTTCAAACTTCGCCAGATGCAGCTGCAGATGCAGATGCAAGGCGGCGCCCCACCTTCGCCCGAGTTGGTGGGGATGAAATCCCAGGACGCCATTGATACAGCGGCGTACCTACAGGAGGCCGCGGCCCGGGTGCGGCTTCATCAGTCGTGGGCGGCGTCCGCTCGATTCCAGCCTTACCTGCCTCCCCCCGCGCCCCCCACAAAACATTCCTTCTCCATAGAAAGTCTCATCTCCCCCGATTACAAACCAGCCTCCAGTATTCACATCCCCCCTCCCCCTCTGATAGCCGCGCCCTTACCCTCCTTCGCCACCCAGTTCGCATCTACCTTCCCCCCGGGTCTTGTGGCGTCTTACGCGGCAAGCCTCGACTTGTCCTCGTCCCTGGCCAACTCCCTCTCCTCCCTCTCCTCCCTCTCCTCATTGTCCACGTCATCCTTCAGCTCCAACTTCATGTCCCGGTTCTCCAACAACCTTGACCTCCTCAAATCAGCTGCGCACGAGACAGGGGCGTTTCCTTCAATCCCCATCAAACCCTCTCCTATAAACCCCATGAGTTTAAGCCACGCCGCCGCCCACCACGCGGCGTTCGTGGCCAGGGGTGGCCTCCCGGGACACCTCCTTCCGCCATTTTCTGAAAAGCTCCTTTCACTCCCCCCGCCATTGTTAAACCGGACACCGGCCCTGATTCCCAGCCGCCCCCACAGCGGTGAAAGCTGACCTACAATATAGGAAATCCTGTTACGTCTTTTTTTTTTAAACTATCATTATTTCTTTTTTACACAAAAATTAACCACAAATTGGCTTCAAGTTTTGGTGAAGTGTTTCTTTTTGACAAAAAAAAAAAAAAAAATTCACCGCGCGGAAGTGAAGGAAAAAAAATCTGAAACAAAAACAAGAATAATGACACGCGCAGGGTCGAACTTTGATCAATCGATGACGTCACTCGTCCAAACCTTTGTTACAGGAAGTTGGATCTTCAACAAGCTGCCTACGATTTGCCGGAAATGAAGCTTTAAATGAGCTACTCCTGAAAGTTGAGAACTAGGTGCCTAGAAGGGCCTGTATTACATAACCACCTGATCAAGGAGATTAGTGGTTTAGCTCGGCTAAGTATCAACGATACTCAGGTTGTTTTGTTTTGTTTTTTGCTAAAGAAAATGCTAAAGTATACAAACTATGAAACTATAAAACAATTTACTTTGGCGTCTTGTATATATATACAAATATACGTCAATATTTACAGATATTCACAAGTATACATTGATATCTTACTTTTTTTACATAAGTATACCTGGTATTTTCGCACAAATTCAAAAGTATACTTCAGTGTTTATTATGTATACAAAACGATTACCTTTGAAAAATTAAACATGGTGTTTCTAAAGTATAAAAGTATATACTGGCTTTACAAAAGTATACCCCGGTGTTTCACGGGTGTACTTTGATAACTGCTTGAACTCTACAAATATAGAACAGTATACTTTACTCACCCATGAAAGGATGGCATCGGTTACATAACACGGCGCTAGATAATGATTGACAGGTTCCTAGACATACAAACTTGAAACGAGGCTTGTGCCAATTAAGTGATGATATTCTAGTGGCATTTTGCCAGACTTTTCCCCAATTTGAATACACGGTGAACAGATCACTTGAAAGAGCGATAACTCTGGATTACATTTTAAAAACATTCAATGACGGTCATAATGCAAGTATACTGATATCAACTACAAGCACTATGATGTATTTTTAAATTTGTCAAGTTTTATTGTGATTAAAATAGTTCATTCTTATACATGAAAATGTGTTCTTTGTGTGATTATTATAATTGTTGTTATTATTAATGTGGTTGTTGCTAATTTCATCATTATTATCATTATTGGTCTTAATTTTAGCAACTAAAATAAAAACTTCTCTCCTATTTCGGCGATTTTATCGACTGGTCAAAAAAAAAATTTGTGTGTATGGTTAAATAATATGGTGTACTGTTATCTTTAGTAGATTATGTAAGGGTGTGCGAGTCTGTCTGTGTAAGTGTATGTGTATGTATGTGTATGTATGTGTATGCATGTCTGTGTTCTAAGCCTCATAGGACCAGCAGATAATCTCACAAGTAGATTAGTTAGGACATAATGCAAGACTAGACAAGGCTAGATCTCTATTTAAAAAAGTCAACTTATAGAAAATAAGACACGTTAAGTTACATTGACAATCTGTAATATTCATTAATATAACTTTAATTGTTTTAATACAATCTTACTCGGGTCAGCACCAAGTGACTTGCTAATTAGATGTAAGCACCAAGTGGCTGGCTAATTAGATGTAAGCACCAAGTGGCTGGCTAATTAGATGTAAGCACAAAGCGCTGGCTAATTAGATGTAAGCACCCAAGTGGCTGGCTAATTAGATGTAAGCAACCAAGTGGCTGGCTAATTAGATGTAAGAACAAAGTAGCTGGCTAATTAGATGTAAGAACAAAGTAGCTGGCTAATTAGATGTAAGCACCCAAGTGGCTGGCTAATTAGATGTAAGCACCCACAAGTGGCTGGCTAATTAGATGTAAGAACAAAGTAGCTGGCTAATTAGATGTAAGAACAAAGTAGCTGGCTAATTAGATGTAAGAACAAAGTAGCTGGCTAATTAGATGTAAGCACCCAAGTGGCTGGCTAATTAGATGTAAGAACAACGTAGCTGGCTAATTAGATGTAAGAACAAAGTAGCTGGCTAATTAGATGTAAGAACAAAGTAGCTGGCTAATTAGATGTAAGCACGAAGCCACAATGCTAGACTTCAGTGTAGGGGAAGACACGAGTGTCCTGAATACACAACAGTTTGAGAATCGCCGACAAAACCAGATGTGACTAGCAAACAATGGGATCTGGTTGGTACAAGAGAAAACTTGGCCAAGCCAAAAATAAATCAGATCAATGTTTGTGGGGTTAATCTCCTGAATATCTTGTCTAAGACCTCCTAATCCGCGTGTATACATGACTTGGGTGTGTAAACCTGATAATCCTGATGTATACATTCCTAATATTTGTCAGACTAGTCTTCATGTTCTCTGTATTCTTATGTGCACATATGTACATTTTTGATTCATTGATTGGGGGCTAGTGTAACTTCAAATAGGGACGTCATTGATTAGATGTTGTTTGATGGGACGTCATTGATTGGATGCTGGTGTATAAACGTCATTATATGAGCTTGAAGGTTGCTTGACTTGAGAGTTCATTAAATGTGCTTTGGATTTGTTTGAGACGAAACGTCATTGATCTTTACTCTGGCTTGATATGGGACGTCATTAAATAAGCTGTAGTGTGGCATGGGAATGGACGTCATTGAATTTAGGTGTGGATGTGGGCTGGGTATGATAGAACAAAAGATGGTGTGGATTGGGATGGGACGTCACTGATACATACACAGACACAGCTTAACCTCATGTCTAACACAGCTCCTGTTGGGTAGAAACGTTAAGCTTTGGTGTCGGATCTAGCAATTAACAGCTCTTTGATAGATGATCGACGCCCGATTAATAATTTTAAAAAAAAATCAGTGTAGTCCCCAAAAAAAATAATCAAAGAAAGCTAAATTTGAAACACAGCAGAAATAAGGAATACGCTTGGACGTATATTGTGTGAACGTATCAGAATATGGAAATAAATGTAAGTAGCTTTAGAGGACTCCATGTAGCCCTGGCTATTTATAACCCAAGGGCCCTTACTCTTAAGGTCTTAACTAGACAACACGATTGTGTTATCCCTAAGGGAGGTTATTCTAAGGCACATTATATTCGAAACCAGGGGCAACACAATATACCTTCACAACAAGCACGTACATAGTCCTATATGTGTACTTTCGCGTGGGAGTGTATGTGTTGCTGTTTGTTTATATATGTGTGTGTTGCTGTGTATTTATATATGTGTGTGTGTGTCTGCGGTTTATGTGTATTCTATAATATAAACCGAAACCCAATGTTTTTTTTTAATAAAATCTCGTTAATCGTGTTCTAGTTTTTAAAACAAAACAAAAATTATTCCACTAACTCTATCTGGGTGTGAGTTTGTATCGGCACCGCACAGCTTCATCATAAGAGCACTCCCCTGAATCAGTCAATGCCCTCACAAACTATAAACACAATGAACAGAAGTCCTAAACTCTTTTACAGTGGAACCAATAACAATAAAATACAAAACTTCTTGATAAAGGGAGAAAAAAACTTCATAAGAATCTCATTTATTTCAATTCAATAAATTCATTTTCAACATCGTTTTTATTGTTATTGTTGTAGATTGCTCATTTTAAAATGTTATTAATTAATCAGAAGATATTGATATCTAGTAATAATCCTCTTTATAGCATCCCTTCTTGTTTTTTTTCTTTTTTTCTTTCTTGTTTTTTTTTTATTAATAGAATATTTTCAAACACGCAATGCTGTTCTGTCCACGCATGCGCAATAGTTCCGCTTGTGCGCGCAAGGTTTGTCTTGTTTAGCTTGGGTGAAAGTTTCCGCCCCGCTCAATCTAGCACAATACCCACAAAAATTATTACACCACGTCCATTGAACTAATAAGGGAATTAAACGTCCGCCTATCCCCGTCGCCCGCTTTGTCACAATACCATTAGCCGTAC